CTGAGGAATCCCGAGTTTTTATAGCATTCCAGTGGCTTTTCACAGTTTGCATTTGAAAACTGATATTTATCATTCTAGAATTATCAAATAATTGAGTTTTGCATTTAAAATTAGGTGAAAACTAGTGACAAGGAATGTTACTTATGTAACGCACAGAAATGTTCTCTGAATCGTCCTGTTTAAAAAATATTATGTTAAGAAAAACACATATTTAAAATTGATTGAGATGCTTTCTGCATACTTTTCTTACATTTGTTTAACAATTAAAAACCTGTTCGAGTGTTCAGTCAGACCAAGATTATCAGAGGCTTGAAATTTAGGCTTTGTCGGTATTTATTACTCAACAAGCAAGCTAAGAGATTCATTTATCAGATTCCCTTTTGTCCAATTCAGGGGTGGGCAAATTTTTTCGGCTCGCGTGCCAAAATCAGTTAAATTTAGCGACAAAATTATTCTGCCTGACGACCAAAATTGAAAACAATGCTTTGTCACTTTTAAAGCAAAATTACACAATAATAAACCTTTTGAAAATGTGAGGACATATTCACTATACAAGAGAAATAGATTTGATTACTTTTCTTAGTCTATGTCAGTGAGACTTCTGCTGCCGCATTAACGCTAACAGAGATTTTACGTAGGATTTATATCTTGTACCGTTTAGACCAGGGGTCACTAATCTACGGTCCCCGGGCCGAAACCGGGCGCAATAACATGAAAAAATAGCGCATTTTTTCCAACGGGATGTCTCCCCGAGCATCGACTTCCTTGTTTATTTCGTGACATTGGCCAATCAGCAAAATGCAAAACGTGACCTAACAATAGACCTTTTCGCATCCGCTCCAAATTTTCAGTTGTGGTTTCAAATAATATCTCATTTTTACGATTTTGAATGCTATTCGTTAGTTTTTGGTCGCGATTCAGAAATTTAAGGTCCAATCATTATTTTTTCGGCTCTCCCATAATATGTGTGCCATCTTGGTGCACATACTTCTGGAAGTCCATTTTTCTTCTTAGGAGTCGTAGTTTAATCTCAGTAATCAAAAATTGTCTAGACTCTTGAGATAGCTGTGATAAAATAGGCTAAAATTCTATACCGGAACGCAGCGTTTCTGCAAAGGATGCACTGTACCGTACACTCGTGGCGCGTGCTTTCGGCGAAAATGTTGCCGTTTACGTTTCTAGTGTTAAAATAAACGTCGAACGTGCATTATGCGCTAATAGTATAAGTCACATTACCTTCGGACTGCTTACATGCGGATATTCATGACAGCAATTGTTATGTTAACAGCTAACCTCGAGATAGTTGTTAAACATATTGTAGATTTGTTTTGCTATGACGTTCTTGACCTGTATTCTGCGATATAGAGTTTATATTGTTGAGTAAATTGAATGGATTTTCTAACTTTTGAGAATTTATTGTATTGCACTGAAAAAAATATTTTTCCGGCCCGTTTCAACACAGTTTGAGTCATACCTGGCCCGCGGTCAAAAAAGTTTGGTGACCCCTACTTTAAACAAATACACGAACAACTGGTTTCATGTTTCGGGCTACTCCTGTTACGAGACCTAATAAAGTCCATAACTGAGAACAGAGATTCACAAGCATATGTAGATGAAATCATGGAGAGGAATGCAGTTGCAAAGTTTTTGAGACATGAAAAATTTCCGGGAATGGCATCTCAATCACGCAATAGCTCGTTTTTTGCACTTCTCTCTTGGATTCCCTTTCCTAACCGCATGTATTATTATCGAAATTAGTTTATAACAGTAAGATAGCAAGTAACTCTAAGCGACATAGAATAGGATTTACATATTTATCCCGGGGTAGAAAAAAGCCGATAAGACGACTTAATCATATGCCATACCACGGCGTCTCGTCCGGTTACCAGTCCAATTCGGGTATGGGATTAGTTAGCCAGTTATTTTTTTTTTCATATGCATGGACTTGAGGGTGGAGAAGGCCGTAAATCCACCTTGCGACGGCGAGTAGTCCAGCAATCCTCTCGCACATAGCTATCCACGCATTGGATTCGAACATGCGAACCCACGCAGGCCAATCAGCGGTGCGGTGGCGAGCGTATTCCTAACGACGCGCAATACCGCCAAGCAGGGGCGGACACCCGTGGGGGCGAGGGGGGGCGGTCGCCCCCCCAATAATTTTGCAAAAAAAATTAATACATGTTGTTTCCGCCTTACAAAATTATCATTTCCGAAAAGTGCGATAGTCAAGCGCAATTTAACAGTTAATAGTTACCGATATTATAACCGTTTTCTTATAATAATGTGGACCAAAGCGCCTTCGGAGCACCTCACATTTTCGTGAAACATGCGCGCCCGCACGGGTAATACTCCGTCTTCAAACGCACCGCCGATCACGCGCCACGGTTTTGCACAACTAATTCTTTTTTGTACAATTTAATATGATTTTCTTATTGTCAAAATCTTTCAATAGTGTTATTGTTGTCAATTGCGCGAGAAGTGAAAGAGGCAAACTGTGTTTCATTACAACAATTAATTATTATCGCTAAAATATTAACTAGATCTAAAGTTGTTATAAACAATTTAACCGCTGGACGTATCTTTTCACGTTATGGATTTTGTGCAAGGCCCAGCATAATTTGCGGGCAAAGATCAAAGCATTTACTATGTCGAAAAGCGGCAATATAAAATACTAAAAATAAAACTGTAAACAATATAGGTTTTGTTGAGGCCCGCGACAGTCTAAAAACGCTTTTCTAGGCATCGAAAATCGCAAAATTTCGTGTGCCTACGGCCCATTAATGTTTGCAAGTTTATCCAGATAATTCAGAATCTTAAAAATTTTTATCCGAAGAAGAACGATCTCGTTTTCGAGGCCTCACTCGCGTGCTGAATAAATGGGCTCGCGTGCCAAGTTTGGCACGCATGTCAGGGGTTGCCCACCCCTGGTCTAATTGTGAACTTGATTGCTTGAATTACTAAAATAATCTTTTCAAATACAATACAGATAGGTATCGTATGTTTGTTCATCAATTTGGCATTTTATCTTATACTATAAAATTAGTTTGGTGAATCACATCAAAGACCTGCCTGGTGGTGTCATGCCCACATATACTTGTTATTAAAGTCACCGTACTCAAAACATTGTGTGGTTTAGTTACACATGGAGTCATGGTAACATGGTAAACTGTTAATATTGCACACAATCCAGGTGTCTAAGGCTGTTTACAAGAATATCTTGACAGTTAACCATCTAGGATGCATGGACATGGAAGGTTGAACAAACTTTACATAATTAGAAGCCAGTTTAAAGAATACTACCATTATAGGCTTTATGAGTTTCACTTTGGCTCAACATATTTGCATAAACAATTTTTTTCTAAAATGGGAGTCTTGAAATCTTCTTATTGATTGATTCTGATAGACAAAACTAGGAAAATGCACTTCGAATTGCTAGCACTTTGACTAAAGCAAATTTGGAAAAAGTAGTTGGGAAAAATGTTCGAATTTAAACCGACAACTTCATTCATGCTAAGTGATTCAAGAGTCTTGCTGCACACTACCACAAATATATTTCTGTAACGTTTCTGACCTTGGTCAGACTTCTTCAGACATACATAGTTCAACTACCATGCTGTTTTAATTTTTGGGTTTGTCTGGATAATGTTGAACCTTGAAGTTTCTGGTTCTATCCAAATATAGTAGCTCCTTGTCTAATTGTGGCCTTGTTTAGAGTTAAATGTTTGTGTTCACACATTTCTATTCTGATGAATCCTGAGTTATTATGATACTTCAGCCAGTGGTTTTTCAGAGTTTGCATTTGAAAACTGTTATTTTTCATTCTATAATTATCAAATAATCGAGTACTGCGTTCAAAATATGAACTAGTTAAAAAGATGTTATTCACCTGAAACCACTGTGCCGATTCTTTTTCGCCTCTCTCTCCTCCAATGCTCTAATTGAAAACAAAAATATAGCGTTAGAAAATAAATGTAATAATGAATTTATTTTTATCAATAGCTTATCATTAGTGGCACTAGCAGGGCCATCGAAAAGCGCGAGTATATTGATCAACCAAATGAACCAATATGACTCATCATTTATTCATTTACAATTTATAGTTGCCTCTAAATTTGTTGGTCAATTTCGAGATAGATTTTAGGCTCAATCAATTATATTATGTTGAAATAACCCCAACATAGTATGACATTTCATAATAGTGAATCATTCAATGACCTTCTGTTTTCAATGTTTTTGTGAAGCCGTAATGTACGAAAGGGAGATAAAACCTTAATCACCTTTTGAAAGTATTCTCTGATTAATTTAAAGGAATTTGCTCTCGAAACTTTTTTTTATTTACTTAGCGAATTAATTTATGTTTGACCACTACTCAGATGACATACTGGTCTGTTCATTTATGTATAAAGTTATGCTTACCATGTCTTGAATATTCATTTTTGCGACTTAATTCCTCATGAAATAAAAATACTGTGATCTTTATTTAATATCTGGAATATTAAAATTGGCAATTTCATTTCTAAAAAATTTTCAAATAAATGAAATTTCACAAGTCAGATTTACATCTAACCATATTTTAAATGATGGTATTTTGGGTGCTTTGATATATTATCTTCATTTAACACAGAAAACACTTATCTAGAAAGCCAAATATGGTGCAATTCAAATTTTCATTCAATCAATTTATGGCTAATCCAATTTATTTTCTACAGTCTTGTTCTATTGTTTAAGTTAAATTGACAGCTCAAAAACGCTGTGCAAGAGAATGATTTAAGGAAAAAAGTTATGAAAGCAAAATGGAGATTGATTTTGATATTAGTTTTCGAATAATATAGTTGCAGTGGCCTATTCTGGTCTGTTTATTGCACGAAAAAAAGTATATATATATATGAGTTATATGCCCATGCCACATTTAGCTATAGGATGGACCTTCTATTTGATATCTCAATTTAATTATCTGTATTCTATCAGTTGTTGAATTAACTTCTTTCTTTCCTTTTTAGGTTCTCAAGAAGATAGAGGCTTAATGCGACAGGTCATGGAATGTTCATTCCTGTCTCGAAGAAAATCACCATAAGTGCAAATATGTTACTGCAGCTATGCTAGACTGAAAATTGAATCATCGAGGCTTACTAAGAATTGCTTATGGTTAAAACAGACTGGAGACTACACTAGCTGCCTCCCTCAAAAAGGCTGCTCTCTAAATTAATTCAATGATGATGAAATTCATTATCGAATTAAACAATATAAATAATTTCACATATTATTGCAGATTGGATTTCAACATTCCATTGAATGATTCATGTCTTTAAAATGGAAGGGATAAAACATCTTCCTCAAGATTGCGATGTCAATATTTCTTATCCATGGAACCTAACCCACTCCTGTTTTAATAGTTAAAAGGATTGCGCTCAAAAATTTCATATGATAAGGATTCACAGCCCCCCCCCCCCCCCTCTTTTCAAGTTCAATTGTTTTCGAGAGCATGACCAGAATTTATTCTCCCTATGTCACAAATTTCCTTCGATTTACCGTATGTGTTTCTCTTGACTTGGAGGACGACCGATAAAAAAAATTTGACCTCGCGTGGATAAAGGTGTTTTTTCCTAATCGTCAGCGATGAGATGGTTAAGACCAAGGAGTGAATACGCAACCCAAAATTCCTAAATTGAAATGACCAAAAAAACGAAACATAAATAAATTTTGTTTTCGAGGCCCGCGATAGACAGACGAGTCTTCATTAAACATATAAATTGCAAAATCTCGTGTTCCTATGACACACATGATGATTAGGTTGCCTTTCGAAGCCATGTCGCAGCCATTTGGGTCGACATCGCCCCATCGCGTACGACGTGGCTCACTTCGTTCAAGTCGCCGACCCATTTCGCATGGTGTGATTATTTAAACCGCGAACACCGTACTGGGTGGTCAGTAAAATGTATTTCCGCAGATTCTTCCGAGTCTCACAAGTAACCTTCGTCACATTTACTTCTCCTGCCACGGGGACTTCGATAATAATTTTTTAGACATTGTAAATTGACAAAATTTGGAGTAAACATTATGCAGGGTTTGAAACTATAAAATTGTTATAGAAATTGAACCAGTCAATTGTGCGCTCGATGTACCTACTCATCCATCCTATTGAATTAACGATCAATCCATTATTACTTGTACTAAAATTAATTTTACATTCGGGCATTTTATCATAAATTTTGGTAATTTTTTAAAGGTGATATGGATATCTCAAAATGATAAACATAAGTGACCGACCGTCAGTGTTAAATGCTACCTAATTTTATCGCAAAAACACCAATCCGAACTAATTATATTCGGGCAGTTCAGCACTCCTTTTATTACTGCAGAGTGCCGTGGTATTTCGAATTAATAATGCCTTTCTTAATGTCGTAAATCGATCGCGTTACTCCGAGCACAATTTTTTTAGGGAATATGTTCATGTCCGCCTTAGTTTGAATATTTCACGCTATAGAAAATAATTACCCGTTAAAAAAGTCTGCTCTTTTAACGAATGCCGTGATGCAATTTCAAAAGACGTTACTTGGAAATTTCCGATTTTGAACCGATTCCTATTTGCAAGTACTTCTAATGGGCGTACCATAATCATCTTTGCGTGTGTTAGCGCTAACCTGCACCTGAACGTCACCATGACTAATAAAACCCGCCAAAATATACGGACTGTCGTACAAATTGCGCAGACGATTTAACGAAGTCGAGCAGACGATCGTATACAAAGTCATATTATCTCTAGTTTTTTGTCTAGCGTTTCGACGTTCATAATTTTACAGAGATCGCTCGAGTTCGTCGATGCAGACGCCATTTCGAGCGATGTGGCTACATTTTGCCGAGCCATATGCGTCGCAGTGACGTGATTATTGAAATACATAAGTCAGGTGGGGTTATGACTTAAAAAGGTACGAAAATCCTGGCTGAACTCCAACGGGAATGTACACGGTAATCATATGCGCCATGACAGGCATATTAAGATGCGCCAGCCACAGGGCCATACATGCTCAGAACCTTTCATCATCTCAAAAGAATACCTGTCTTAGATGCGTCGTGATAACTTGCAACCTAGTCATCAACGAAAACACTTTCTGCGTGCTTCATTTATCCAAGTTATTTAAACTGTTGTACCAGGTTAGCAACCAGGGAAATCCCCTGGTAAATAAGTGCTCACATGATAGAACATGCCCATTATACACCCCCGGCATTTACACACAAACAGTAGGATTAATACATAAGAACATTTACCCCAAAAGTGGTATTAGCGAATAAAACTGTTACAAATATCAGACAATTGCAATAAGCATGTCTACTCAATTCTTTATTAGCATTCTGATTTGGGATAAATATCTACAATGACCTATTTAGGTGATTTTATGAGAAATGAGTGGTGGTTTTTCATAAACTTTTTTATTTCCGAACACTATTAAGTTGTATTATTTTTTCCCCTAAATTTCTTCACTATTTTCTATGCATGCCTAATATATTCTATCGGGATAATTTAAATTTACTGTGGGAATGTATCCATTCTGAAAATATGGCATGCTCTTTTATATTGTCAATTTAGTTCTTTAGAAATCAATTTTAATTTCATGTTTATGTTTTCATTTACGTTGAACAATAGAAAATTTCAAACTAAATACTGTAACGAATAAAGATTATTCATAAATGTTCCAGGCATTGGTATTTTTTCATTTTCGGTCAGATGTTTTAAATCAAGACTCCAGATTATTAGAAATTTGTGTGCAAAATAGGAGACCAACGGTCATAGAGATACAAATGTGCTCCATAGAGGAAAGTTGGCAAGTTCGAGTTAGCATTTTTTTGTGAAAAAGATCGACACGTTAGTATTCTGTAATGTGTAACCTCTTCTTAATCAGCTTTTCCAACAGTGCATTACATAACCCGTTCGAACTACCGTCCAAAGTCCGAGTAAACATACAACTGTCGTCGTATGATCATGCACATCGCACGCCCAAAACTCGTGTCGTCAACAAGTCTGTGACTGAAAGACCCAATCACAATCGAGTAGGCAAATACCCACCTATATTTACCCTGGTGTCCAGTCACGCAAGTTCTCTATACAGTATATGATTTTTGTTGACTGAGGGTAAACACAGTAACAAAGAAGGGTCCAAAAGTTCGTTTAACAGTTTGTTCAACTTTGTAACGTACGCTTGAAATTAGTAAAAAGTCAAATATTGTTTAGTCACCTACTGAAATTACTTGATCAGAACAAGTTTGCATATGCAATTTTTCTATTGTATGATGTGAGATGAAACAGTAGATATGCGTTATTTCGCCCTTCATTCATATTTATGATGTGAACTACTAAATATTTTGCATCCGCGGATAATTTGTTGCAAAACGCCTATTCCTTGATCGCGCAGGTGCTGCCGCATATTCTCCTTTTTATCATTCATTTATTATTAGTTTCTTCCAACAAATCAACCGGATAACTAGTTTCATTGCCAGTACTAAAATATCTTGTCATAACCATTGTGAATGGAATGAATAAAATAACACCGTTTTTAAAAGTGTTGTAAAGAAAGTAAAATGGGCAACTGAATCTTTTGTGAGCCTAGCAATAATCAAAATGATATTCAACTTATAAAGGCTGTCTCGTTATTGATGTGACTAGCCGACTTTTGTTTGTTAATAACAGCAAATTGGATATTTTAAAACAAATTTCGAAGTCAATAAGGACGAAATATAGTTTTTCGCCACTTTGTAGTACTCCATACGTATCAATCTTTTTCGTCCGCTAATGGGATAGAGTCGATCAATGTTTACTTCCTTTTGGTAAAGATTCATTATGATAATTTTGTATCTGATATATAATAGATTTTGTGTGCCCAAGAAGGCGACGGTTGTTTTATGTAATGCTATGTCCGCCCACCTAGTATAATTATGTATAACCGCGTATATTCAAGCTGTGCAAGTAGATGATACTATTGTGCTAAAGCTATCGGCGCCATATCTTGTCTAGTGCTCCCATGACTGTTTACCGGCTTGGATTGAAATTCATAAATTGAAAGCAGTCGTGATGCTTGTGATTTTCAAGTACGGTAATCGTCGCACCTCTAGCGCTATACAGCGTACGTTGAAAAGCTGTTTTCATTCGCCATTTTGTTTCCAAGTTTTTTGAATCCGTATTCAACATAAAGGCGGTAAAAATAATGATCAAGGATTTGAATACGCACAGAAATAAAAACCTCTTGAGTGTAAATTGCGCAAGCAAAATAATGCAAATTACGAATTCCAAAATTTATTTACAATTTCACAAGTAGGCTTCGCCAGGGAATTTTACTTTCTCATGTTCACGTATGCTGTCTATTAATTTTTAGTATGATTATCGTGGTGTGTGTTTTTCTATTTGTGTGGGTGAATAGGCAGAAATGCTGGTTACGTTGCTATTTTGCCCATTTTCCAGATTTTCCCGTCGCCCTTGTCTGTGTTTTTTTTTATTCGTGTTCTGTGTTCGTGACGAAAGATTTAATAAAATTGTATTGTATTATGGGACCGAATCGGCGTGTCAAAAAGAGACAGCTACGACATATCAGTCAGAGATTCACAGTAATGCTCCAGCGGTTCCCATGCTTTTTAATATCGTTACCCTCAAGATAGAAGTGCCAGAATCTCAATTACCCGTTTCAAAAAAGTTCACAGCTCTATTTTTAACGGTATTACAATCGCGTCCACAAATCACAACTTTAAGGTGCTGTGCTGGCGAAGCGTTGTAGAATACAATCTGTACGACGAATCATTGGTATTAAGTTTCTACTGAAGACGCGACTGACTGCATTGTGACGTAAAAATGCTCTGTAACTAGATGTGAACACTAGACCAGTGTTCTTCAACCTTTTACAATTCTTCAAGAACTTCGTATCAGTGTTCCCTCTAAGGTGTGCGCGTGTGCGCGCGCACACAGCTTTCAGAGGCTGCGCACACACATAGATTTACTGCGCACAGACGTATTTCGATGTAATGTAACAATGTGCTCGGTTGGCAGGTTGCGAAAGTTTGTTGTTGGCCCACTTATTACCCCATTAGAACGCCAAAATTTCTTCATTGGTTTTTGCACAAATATTAGTCATTTCCAAAAAAGTGCGCACACACCAAAATTTCTGCGCACACATACTACAAAAAATTAGAGGGAACATTGTTCGTATACCTTACAAATACCAATGTTTGTTTGAGGTTTGAATAAAAATTAAATTTTAAGCACATATTATACTGCAATATCATCATGCAAACTAATAGGCTAGTCCGCAAGTTATAAAATTGACTGACGGCCTTAGCGTCAACGAGAATAATGTTCCACGTAAATCAAACGAAGTGCATGGCAACCGAAATTACTAACCCAGACACAAAACTGCATTATCTATAGAATTTGTGATGTAACAATGTGCTAACGTCGGTTCTTTGCGAAAAAGACATTTTATATTTTATGTGCGCCGCGTTTGCATTGTTGTCTCCGCTTGCTGTTTATTGCTGTTTTGATTAAGGTGCTAAAATAATAACTTAAACATCTACGTCAAGAACTGAACAATGAATCCACCAAGAGAAAAAACACCTTGAAAACTAAGAAAACATCTGTGAAATTACCAAAAACTACCAAACATCAGGGTGATGGAGAGCAAGCTGAGGAATATGTACCCAAGGCTGACTCACCGCAATATAACGAAATCGTGAGTGGAATATTACCTGTCATCACAAAAAAGAAAAAAGGTAACTACACACAATATAAAACTTATAGTAATTTACTTGAGACTCTTATAACTAAAGCAAAAAAGCGAGTGCGGCGCGTGTGTCATTTTGACAACCGGGGCAAGCTACTGCGGGACCAAGTCACCCCATCTACGGGGACAGGATGAGCGCTGTAAGTTCTTCCCATCATTTTATGAGTATAAAAACCATTCCATCGGTAACAACCAATCGGCAAAAGCGACAATTTTTAACGATAAGAAAGTGTCTTTAAAACCGGCTCCAAGTCAAGGGATTATATAAATATAGACATAGTTTTATTTTGAACCTTTTCAGATGGAAGAGGCAATATTTACCCAGATAAATACCAATGACATATTAACAGAAACTTCGGGAAAGCAGACAAAACCTAAAATAAGGTTTGAAACGTTACTATAAAGAAAGGAAAGTAATGCAAAGATAAGGACATGCGTCGCTCACTCATAGATATATATGCTGCTAAACTTCTACTGCTCGAACATATATGCAACACGCCGCGGTTTCTTGGAAGCAAAAGCTCAATAACGCGCCTGATTAAACTCATGCATCCTAGAAATAACGTCTCTTGTGAATGGATAAAACAGCCAAGGAATTTAATCTATTTTGCTTCATTGTGTTTCTGAGATACGTTTTTATACGCTTCAGCGTGCTGAATGTTCGCTCTGCGTCGGCGGAAGAAATAGGCGTCGTCAGAATGATGTCCAGAAATTTTGCAGACGGCCGCAAAGGTAGTTACTAGAGTGTTATCTATGAGGAACCCATAGAGCGCGCAAGTTGATGTGATGTTCAAAAAAGTTTGATTTGGTGTATATATATCGCAATTCATTTTCCAATTTACCCACGTTTATTCATGGGGTAAAATTTGGAGACAGTAGCCAACAAATGGATGGGAATTGGACGTGCAAATTTTGAAAATTTTTTGGGGTTCATCAAAGAGAACGCGGCAAGGTGTTCAGTGCGCAGACGATCGCCTATTGATTCACCAGAATGTCACAGCATTCCTTGCAGACAAAATCAAACGCTGCGTGGTTTGCCCGCGGCGTAAAGAGCACTCCATGTGTCGTCGTATTTTATTGTTTCCCGGATACGAGATACAGCATCGCAGAATTCTGAAATATACGACTGCACAGACGCTCCATCCATTAGCCTTGACTGTAATGCGCCGTATAATACATCCACGTGATAGAATATTGTGGAGAAAAAAGCGAGAAAAAATGAAACTCACCATCTTCTAGCAGACGCTTTAGACCTGCCGCCTCCCTAACAGAGCGTTCGTCCCAAACCGGAGAGCTCTGAATGCCATTGAAACACTCAATGAGCTCAGACCTAATTTTGGACACGCCCTGCACCCCGCGTGATTGGAAGTTCCAACGTGTTGGTGCACAAGCTGGGAGACGGCAGCTACATATCTGGCGAAGGAGGTCAGAGCGCTTCGGCGAAACGGAAAAAAAATGATGAAAACCCCGAAACATTGCAAAAAATATACGGACGAGAGGGGTATCAAGACACATATTTTTAATAACGAGGTTAAATTGGTGTGCATAACAATGTAAAACATGCGCATGAGGAAAATCTTCTTTTATATAACTTGAAACACCATGTTTCGACCCACTCATGACTGCCGCGCCGTCATAAGTTTGTGCTATCAATTTGACTTCGCGTTGTAAGGCTGTAACACTACTTTCAGTACAGCCGATATCCCGCAAGCCGTGCGATCAACGATTGGTACAAAGCTGTGAAATCTCTCGGTAGGTTTTACCATCTTTCACAAACTGAAAAATCACAGCCAGTTGGGAAACGCACGTGATGTCAGTTGTCTCGTCAGAACTGAATCGAAAGGAACTGGCAATTCTCAATTCCAGAGCCAAATGTTGTAAATAAATTTTATACATTGA